TAATCATTTTGTGTGAAATAAAATGAAAAGAATGAAGAATTACTTTTCGATTAAAAAAATCCATCCTCAAAGGATTAAAAATAGTACAAGAGGTAACATTATTTTCGTCTAACCTCTTTTGACAGATGACATCATCCATAAGTCGGATAGAAGTAAAAGGCAAAAATATGAAATCAATTTATTCAAAATAAAAAGCAAGAATTATTTCGTAGAACACTCAATTGAAAATTTTCTTTTTCTAATGCTGAATTTATATCAAGGTTTGTTTGTGCTGTTGAAGACGACGGAATCACTTATGGCGATTCTGTAGTTAAGATAGCTGGATTCCATCTGTATACATTCTAGTATAACGACGATCAGGTTACCCGTCAACACGAGATGATATATAGGGATCTGCACAGTTTTTGGATTTCGATCACCAATTTTCCACTGTGAAGGCAACGAACCACTTGATGCAGTGATCTCACTCGAGTGACTGACCAGTCCATCATATGCCTGACACTAGATGAGATGAAACTGTTTTTCTAGAATACCAGTTGTAAGCTGATAGTTGAATCTACCGGTAAGAGTAATAGTCATTGCACCGTATAAGCAAACGTCTTTCGGAAAATTCAGATAAGCCACGAGGTTGGCCACACCATTAGGAAAGTTCATACGGTACCAATTCTGAAAATGATAGCCATTTGAATTCCATAGATCATGAGTAGTCGTGAACGTATTTTGGATCAATTGAAAAAAGTATGGAGAATCCTAGGACGATGAACATGCTATTCATTTGAAGACAGTTAATAACTTTATGTCTTTGCCATGACGTGATCGAAGAATAATGCACAATCGAAACTAATGACTATTTTCTTGCATTGAGAGAATGTAAAGCAATTTATTTCTCTACAATGTTTGCAGACAACGAAAATCGAAGCTTTTGAGAGGAGGTGCTGATCGACATTTACATGGCTTGTTCGATTAATACTGAAATATGATTTCATCTAAAAGTTTCATCGCAGGAGCAGTGATCAGTTGTATTGAAGAGTGTAGATGTGGGTGCCGGCGTTGGTATGGATAGAAATTCATTTGAGAACCACCCTCACATCAGAACTGACACTCATACTCACTAATGCTCTTCTATTCATCACAGCAATATGTCTCATTTGCTTTTTTTCAGTGAATAAGTAATCTCTAACCCTTCTAAGGATGTAGTAAAATAAATATTCTCATAATGCAATTGATTTTTATCGAAAAGAAAACAGACAATTTATGAAAGAAATCACAGTAAGATTAGTATATTCGCAAGCGAAGAAAAGTGCGTTGTATAGAAAATACTTCAAGAATAAGTGCTAGCACTTTATAATCTATACAAAGTAATATTTAAGCACAGAATCAATAGAGTTCAACATTATCAATTGAATATAATTTACTTTTCAGTGATCAAAAACAAAAAGTTCATTAATTTAGTACTGACAATATTTCTTATTATTTTAGACAGTGGTTGGTGAAGAGTAATCCTCTTCCCTGACGTTGTCGAGTTTTGAAACTTTCGAGACAAATAGATCTCAATGATTAGAACAAAAATTATCCTAAGTTAAAAATCGCCTGAACTTTCTTCCCAGCTCTGAGTTCAAATTCAGTCATTTTCGCTGAAACTGTCACATAGTTCCTTTTTTCTCGGAAAATATTGAGTTGTTGAAAAACAGAAGTCAAAATACTAGGAGGACTTTGAAAAAAAGCTTCATTTTTGAGTAGTTTTTGATTGATGAAAATTTTATAAAATCTGCCAAAGTTCATCGATATAATATTTTTTTTTAAACGAAAAAAGTCTACACTCTGATCTGATCGAACTTAGTCTAAAGAAAGTTACATCTCAATTTGGTTGGAATGTTAGAGAGAACCATTTGAAAAACTGCAAAATGTTGTGTTTTCAAGTGTTTTATTTTTCCACATATAATTATCAATTATTTCACTAAGAAAATCATTAGTTGGATGCATTATCGATCCATGCAATGCATTTTTTGATTGAATTGCCATCGAATGAGAGTATTTAAATGCTTTTCTCTAGAGCTTAAAAATAACTCGTCAACACAAAGGAAAGTCTCATATAACTACAAAATATTTCATTAAGCAAATCGACTAACAAGGAAATCTCTTCAAATGTTTTCTTCTGTCTATAGATACTACATAGTGTTCTAATAAAACTACTAAATGAATTAGATTTCTTATTAGTATTCGACTACATTATCCAGTTTTTTTTCTAGAGGCTTCAGATTTTCTTAAAATTTGTATTTTCAAATTTCGATCTTGAAATTCGCACATAAAAAGAATTCAATTAGACTAGATTCTACAAAAAAAAGCACAAGTTTTGAAACTTTAAAAAAATACATGATATAGATACTATTAATAGAAAAGGTCCTATATCTTGATAGTCTCATATTTCGAAGAGATTTTGTTTACAACTCGTGAATTTTTTTAATGGAAACTAATCTGGTTGAGTTCTCTATAAATACAAAATTTCAGATTAAAATCTGAAAATACGAGTTTTACGAGAATCTGGAATTTCTACGAAAAAAATTCGATAGATTAGTCATATTTTAATAGAAACTCAAATTCTTTTCGAAATTTTTATTAGAACATCATGAAATATCTATAGGTGAAAAATCATTGAAGTGAGTATCTGCAGAAGTCACCTCGTAAGTGAATAATTTACTAGTCAATAATAAATTGATATCTTTGATTTTATCCTTTCGACATTCAATTATTTTTCGTATATTTTCTTCTGGTAAAACTGTGAACGGTACTGTTTACTAAAATATTATTTTTTTCTTCAGTAGAAAAAAGCTTTTCTATCGTGTGCTATTACACAAGAATTTTATTTTGAAATATAATTATACACTACATTAGTATTGAATGACGAAAGTTTGTTTGTAAATTTCTTTTCTTCTTATTACTAAAAGATATTTCTTTCTCAAGTTTTATGAATACAAAATAGAACGATTCCATTGAGATAATTATATCTACGGAAATGATTACATAGAACATTAATAATGTTAGATTGTATCTAATTTTTTAGCATTTCATAATAAAATATTTGCAGAAGTTCATGACTAATCATTCGAATATGTAAATAAATTATTGATCACAAATGATCATATAACAGAAATTAATTCATCCATAAGTAAAATATGAAATCAAAAATCCTGCAGATGCTTCCGGTTTTAATTTCCTGTTAATAAAATTTTTTCTTTGCAGCTGCAGTTGATTTGTCAATTAAAAAAAATATCTAAAAATAAACTTATTATGAAAGATAATCATGATCATATGTAATACTATATTTACTCATAATTAATATTAGATATTATACATGAGGAAATTCTCATATAATATTGCAATATTGAAATATGATTACATGTCTTTTCTTCTTATTAAAGTATTATTTTGTAATCATTTACACAATATGTTGTTCTTGATTGCCTTTTCTTATGTTTTTTGATGATGAGACATAAGAGACTAAAGAAATACAATAAGTATGTTTTCTATCAATTATTGTTATATATGTTTGATGTTGATAAAGAGAACCTTTTAGTACATTGACCATATGTTGTCTGTATCAGTTTTTTCTTCTTCTCATCAAATCAATTGTACAATAATCACTTACTGAAATATTAAGAAAAACATACTTGCATGTTGATAATTAAGTTTGAATTCTCATTAATCAATCATTTTACTACCGATGATCACTTACATCATGAATTGTATTCATTAATTGTTGGATATTTGTTATAAGAAAAATGAAATACAAATAACTCTTTTTTTCTCAATATTTGAATCTTAAAAATGGTCCAATGTTATTATCTTCATACGAGCTCCAAGAAAATGGCGACGACCGGCGTCATTTAATCGCTGTTTCCGTAAGCTCGTAAAACGGTGAAAATAGTAGATGAAGCAATGACCGCTTGTGAGCGAAAAAAATCGGCTAAGCCATGACAACCAAAATGAATACATTAAAATGCCGTTTTCTACGGTCAGAATGATTGTCTTGAGATATTGTATATTTAATTATTGAGTTTTAATGACAACAATGTTTATAATAAGTAACCTTCTCGATTGTCACATTTTAACAGATGATTCATATTGTCTTATGTTTAAGTATTAACAATGTTTGTTATGTTTTTTTCCGATTATATCTTTAAGCATGTCTATGAATATAGACACACGTCTAAGAATATTGTTGTTTACGTCTCGTCTTGTATACATAGCTTTGAACATTATATATTTGTTGGTACAATCCTTCAACATCACACGGTCCGTTGATCGATAAGACTTACTGAACAATGATAATTGTTGCTATTGACCTTTTTCTTTCTTTCTCTTTTTTTTTTCTTGTGTTTAGTTCTTTTAAATTTGTATTAAGATTAAGTAAAAATAGAATGTCTATTTCTTTTTTGAGTTTAGAATACATCGTGATATGATCTCTATTCTTTCTTTTGTATTCTACATTGCAACAACGACAGAACGTTTCAAGGAATAATGATGGTGTGTAGAGGATAATCAACACCCACTAAAGTCAATTTAACTATGTTGCATGATGAACGGATGCACATACATAAGAATAGATATATATACATACATGTATTCTCTTTCTTGGCATGCAAGCATTATAAGGGTCAACGATCTTCTTTAACTCGTGTCCTTCTTCCTTCATACATAAGATGAACTATAGTAATGTGTCTGTATATCATTTCTTTTCTATCTTGTTTACATGTAAGCTATTCTTCTTGTCCTACAGATGTTAATGGTCATTATAATAGAAACGATGATCTTTTTCACCTATGTCGATTTCTTAAGTAAATAGACTTTCATGAGTATTACACGTTGATTATCGAAGAGCTCAAGGTAAGGCATCGAGGAAAAGAAAAGACAGAACAAAAAAAAAAACGAAAAAAAGAAAAACGATCAGTATCAATCAGAATTAATAGTACTTTTATTTCATTTGAACAAACAAAACAAAAATGAAATGCAAAGAAGTTATGACACATATTCTTTTCGATAAAATGCCTAGTTGGATAAAATATCATAATGAGAAAGATAATCGAATCGTTCGAAAGGTAACTGTATATATATATATTTTTTTTTCATATATTCATTAATTTTTATGAATTCTTGTTGAATTCCTTATTTCAATGCCTAATCTTTTACTCGTGCTCAAGCTAAAGCTTGATATATGTATTTAACCTTGCTAATTTTGAAGATCAAATCTTCGTTCTTTGTATATTCTTTTTCTTATAATATATAAACAAATTTAGAATAGCTGGTGCACATACAAACGCATTTATATGTTACAAACTCGATGATGTAATGAGAATTGATTGAATCATTAAGCAGGGATAATACATTTACATTTGCCTTCTCGCTTTTATTAGTAATCTTTTTCTTTTTCCTCATGAGTAATCTATTGAAATACAAACAAGATAATCTATTTTCTAATTGTTAATTCTAAATTTTTAGGTATATAGTATCGGTGATTTACCGTATATGAGCAATTACGATCAATTCTCATCAAACATGTCGAAATCTCAACTTAAAAAAATTAAACATCACATCCCGTCAGCATCCAATTTGACGCTAAGCAATAATTCAATGTTGACAAGTACATTTGGAAAGTTGTTAGCTCGAGTAAGTATAGTAATAGTAAATACAAAATCACCGGTCTTAACTAGTTATTGCATTTTGATGCCATTGGAGATTTTTTTTTTCTGATTCTTTGTCCGGTATTGTCTTATTACCGCAACGACCATTTAGAATTCTCGGTAAAAGAAAAAAAGAAAAGAAGAATTGCTTTTCGATTAGTAAAATACAATAGAAAGCAGATGTTCACTTGTACATTTTACCTAATCGACATAAAGCAGAACAATATTCTCTTAAATTTTTATGTAATCATTAGAAATTAACACATCGTTCAATAAGAAATATAACAAAAAGTACAAACGATTTGAATAGTAATTGTGAATGGTATGATTCTTCAATAGTAGAAAATAATATGATATCAAAAGAAAATATACAATTTATTGGACAAATCGGTGAAGGAAAATTTAGTACAGGTAATTTTCAAAATTTATTTAAATAAAAAAAAAAAAAAAACTTTGCTTGTTTTTTTTCTATATAATTAGTTTTTAAAGGTTATTATCGAACAAAACAAAATGAAATAGTAAATAAAATGTTTAAAGAAATTATCTATTTGAATATGTTTGCTTTCTTTTTAATGTTTAGTTAACTGTTGCTATTAAAAAATTTCATCATGAATTTAATTATGATAATATATCAAAAGAAATATGTGATTTTCAAGATGTAAAACATCCACATATCATTCAATTTTTTGGTATTATTATTGATACTAATAATTCAATTATGTTTGTAAGTTAATTTAAAATAAAAAATAAAAAAAAGGATATTTCATATTTATCAAAGATAATTTAGATAAGTGAATATGTACATGCAAAATCACTTTATGAATGTTTAATATCAACAAATGCAAAATATGAATATTCAATAGAAATTTTACTTGAATATTTAAAACAAATAACATCAGCAATGAGTTATTTAGAAAAAAAATCTTTAATTCATCAAAATTTATCTTGTCGAAATTATCTTGTTTTTAATAAAACACTTGTAAATAATTTTAATATGCATTTTAAAAAAAAAATCATTTTTTTTTCTTTTTTATATTTAGATTAAACTTTCGGATTTAGCTTGTTGGAATTGGAATCTATTATGGAAAGATAGATTAAAAATATCAATAGCATGGATGAGTCCTGAAGCAATACATTGTCATTGTTTTACAACAGCTTCAGATATTTTTGCATTTGGTGTTTCAATGTGGGAATGTTTTAGTTATGGACAAATACCATGGCAAGGACTAACAAATGATGAAGTATGATTTAGTTGAATTATGTTATCAAAAGAACAATTATCGAATGTAAAGATGTTTAGAAATTGAGATGAGTTTTTTTTTCTCTATGTATTATTTATAAAATAGATGTTCATTATAATGAATATTTCACATTCTTCTTTTCTGTGTAAATCCCAATGGAAATCTATTAGACAACAAGAAAATTTTTCCATTTTTTTTTTTTTGTTTTCTATTAAGATTGCCAATGCTATCAATGCACCCAATCATCAACGATTATCAAGGCCATCTTATGCTACATCCGAATTGTATGAAATAATGCTTCATTGTTGGAAATATGAACCATGTGAACGTCCAACATTTTCTCAATTAGAAAAAACATTACGAGAAGTATTTAAAAAAACAAAAAAACGATATCTAGAAAAGAGACTCATCATACAATAATGATTTTTTCATCTTTAAGATTGAATTCAAACAAGTACGATGGAAAGAAAATAATAATAAATCAATAAATTTACCTGATGGTTTTCTTTCAATTGAATCCTGTAGACGTGGACCATTAACAATTCTCGATCGATGGTATGTACATCCGATTTCAACAGCTTAACATATATTATTAAGAACAAAAAGAAGAAAAAAAAAACGAAAGAAATATGATGTGCATAAGGATTCATGTTTGAAACTCATTGTTACATAAACATACCTCTTATTTCTTCTAGTATATATTTAAGTGAGCAAATAGATCAGGGCAATTTATTTTATCATGCGATTTTCTATTCATTTTTTTTTTTTACTTACTTTCATCGATTAGTTTATAAATCAATATGTTATTATATCCTTGAACAGGGATGTTAATGATTGATAAGAAGAAAAAAAATATACAACTTGAATATTTTCATATTTATTCTAGTCTTCACATTCCCGACACATCGTCATCAATTAATAATTTTCTTCAGTGTGTCACCATCGATGGACAAATCGGTTTTGTTTATAATAGTGATGTTGAACCATTACATGTAATATCTATAGCTAAGCAAACTATTACTACTCCGTCGAATTCCACATCATCAACAATGAATTATATATTTCATCGAAAGATAGGTAAAACAATCTTTTCTTATTGTTTCAATCAAAATAATAGTTACGAAAAGTTTCTCTTAGAATCAAAGTTAGATATACTATTATGAGTATTGATAATGCTTTCATGAACATTTTAATAAAGAATATTAAAAAATAAAATAGAAGATATATATGATAACGAATATATTCAATGAAGGTGCATACTTCATAACTAGAGAAGTGCAGGATCTATAATATTTGAAGGTTTTTCAAGACTCTAAAAAAAAATAACCAAAATGATCGAAAATGGAACTCGAGACACTAAAACCCGAAAAGATAAAATTATCGGAACTGCGATCAGCTTGGATCTACTATGGCTATAGCCGAGACCACTGGAAAAGAAGTTACCCGAGTTGAAACCCAAGAAACTTTCGCACATTTCTAATTATAACTTTAAACAAGAAATTAAGTACTTCAATAGAGTGGCTTTTACATGTGATTCGTCTTGGAAAGTAAATGAAAACTATGGATGAATTGTAATGAAAATTTTATTTCGAGTAGACTTTCTTAATTTTTGAAAAGTATGCCAATTTTCATTTAATCTATTTTCATATAGTTTCAGTTTTGATTTTTGCCTTTTTTTTCTTAGGCATAAAGAGAAATGCAACAAAAACAAAATTCAAACCAGTCTCAAAAGATATGATCAGTTCACCTCAATCCGATTTAATTCATACATGTCATATTGGAGTAACAGGTAAATAAAACTACTGTTATATTAGACTAATCAAAAATATACTTCTTTTTTTTTAGATCAAACATATAATGATATGACTTGTCTTACTAATGTAATGATTGAACCAATATGTACACAATCAGCTATCATGTCTATTGAACAAGAATTAGTATGATTTTATTAAATTTTTTTTCAAAAATTATATTTTTTTTGTTTTTTTTTGAAGAATAATAAACAAAGTTCATCTTTACTTGATGAAGTTATGCAAGCATTTACAGAAATTTATTCTGAAACAGAATCAACATGTTTATCAGATGATAATTTACCAAATAGATCATCACCACAATCTCCTAAAATAAATGTAAGTTTTATATATCATATCAACTCATTTAAAGATTAATACAACTCAATAAAAAATTGATTCATTTTCTTTTAGTTACTTAATCACATCTAATTTTTTTATTGATTCAATATTTTCTTTATAATTTCATAAAAATACAAATAATTCAAGTCAATTACTATGACACAGTACTTTTTTTTTCTTTTTTACAAAGAAAGTTCTTAAAGTTTTCCTCATTATCTATATAATTATATATACGTACTTGAGCTCTTTTCTCTAGTTGTTAGTCATGCGTCATGGATTTACTATTCTTCATAATCTATAAGATTGTAGAGCTTATAAATTTTTTCTTCCTATTATCGCTCTATATTTAGTCATTAAATTATTGCAAATATAATGACATATAGCCATGGATCACAACGTCCTTCAAGATTCCATTCACCAAAAACAAAAAAAAAGGACATCCTGCAGTAATTTTTTAGGACGCTGTGATCTGTCTATAACATAATTACATGACACTTTAACTTTCAAGGTAAAGTTAAAGTAAACGAAGCTTTTTTTTTGTTCTAATTTTTTATGTAAACTTTTAAATCTGAAGAATAAACAGGATACGTTGAACAAAATTAAAATTAACAATGCTACTATTCAGATTTCATGTATTAATAATGAATAAGAAAATACAAAGCTTTATGTCAAATAAAGAAAAAAACTCTAATCTTTTAATCAAAGTTAGCATGATATATCATATAAAAAACGAAAATATTTATTACATGCTTTTCAATCATTGATGAATTCTTTTTTTTTTTGATTATACTCTTACTATCTCATTTTTCTAGAATAATATCTATATAATCAAATGAATATCCTTGACATAAAGAATCTTTTATGACATGAATATTTACTTTTCTTTAGTGTCAATCATCATCTATGAATATAAATCAATATCCAACAGTTAACATGACAGGTAAACGAAAGATGTGATTTATTTTTATTTTTTTTTATGAGTAAGCACTGTTATTATTTTAGATTCACCATTACTTACTTGTTTCATATCTCAATTAAAAATAAATAAATCAAATGAATTTAAAGAACATTCACGAAATAGTTTGTAATTTTAATTGTACTTTTTTTTTTTATTCTGATCCTTTTCTATTAGATGAACTCAATGAACAAGGAAAAAATATATATAATTCATTATGTTCATCATCATCATCATCATCATCATCATCATATAATCAAGAAAAATCTGATTCTCATTCACATTATTCATCATTATCAACAGATAATGATGATAATCATTCAATAATAAGTTTAAATTCAAGATCATCATCAATAAATAAAAATAAACAACAACATTCAATAACAGGACAACCTTTACCACCACCACCAGATTTATCAAGTTTAGGAAGTAAATTAACAATTGCAACAATGAAACATATTATTGAATTACCACCATCATTAACATCAAATAAATATCGAAGAAAAAGTATGAAAATATTATTGATTTTATTAATAATTTTAGAATTTTACTACAAAAAAAAAAAATCTTGCCTTAGAAAAAAAAACAAACAGTAATAATACTATCAGAAATTTTTTTAAAACAATCATCACTATCTGTAGAGAAAGGTCAAAAAAAAAACTTTTTCGATGAATAAATTTAGTTTTTAAGCTTTTCTACTCTTACATCCGGTGGCAGAGAGAATTGCCATTATGAACTTAATTCATATATATAGTGCCACTTTCAATTCAAACATATATTTAAATGATTGATGAATTAAATAATAGTTATGCATTCAAAATAACAATAATAAAACATATTTTTCTCTCTTATTTAAAATTGTAATTATTTACTTTCATAAAAAAAAAAATTACTGAATAAAAATTATATATTGATGAAACGTGACTAAAATCAAAAAAAAAAAAAAAGAACTTTTCATTATTAATAAACGATGAGAAAACAGTATAGAAAACAAAAAAAAACTAGATTTCTTCTATTTTGCATTGAATATAATAGAAAATAAAATTTGCAAAAAAATTTCTGTTTATGTCTAATCAATTTCTTTTGAAATACTGCCTAATGGGAATTAGTTTTCATGATTTATATAATAGAAAAAAAAAAAAGAATAATGGTTGACATGTCCGATACAATAAGACCTATAGAATAATCAACTTAATGTTTTGTTCGAAACATTCATGTCATAATATTGTGTGATTTTTAGAGAATATTGACTAGAAGAACTTCTCTGATAAGAATAGGCAAACTTTCTAATCTTAATCATAAAAGTATGTTTGATTATGATGCTTTATTGAATGATAAAAAATTTTGTGTTACCATTTTCATTAAAGTTTTATATTATAATTAAAAAGAAATTTTTATAATTAATGAATAAAATATTTAAAAAAAGAATTTAAATGGAATATTTTTAAGTGTATTGATTTTTTGCAAGAAGAATAAAAAAAAAATAAATCTTGACATTGTTTTTTTTTTTTGTTTTAGAACGATTCAATCTCTTTACTTAATATTTATATCTTTATCAAAATAATCAATATGTCTCAAATGTTTGATCAACAACTAGTCAAATGAATTTTGTTTGTGTTGTTCCGTCCTAATTTTCTTAACAAAACTATTCAAAGTTTTACATTGATAATAACAATAATTAACTTAACTGCTTGTTTTGTTTTGTTTTTCTTTTTTGGTTTGTTTGTCTTTATATTTTTTTTCTAATTTTTTTTTTCTCTCTTTCATTATTGTACTACAATTTCTATGAACAGTGATTTATGTTCATTTACTATCACTGTATTCCCTTATAAAATTAACAATAAATACGACTAACAAAGCGAAATAAAATTATGTAGATTAAAATAAAAGATGTTAATCTTGTAACAAATATAAAATAATAATTTTTCTCCTTTTTTTTGTTGCAACCAACTGAGACTAAATGAAGAAAAGGATAAATACAAGCTTCATATTATGACAGAGATAAAGGAAATCTTTATACAAATATCAAGGACGTCAAAAATATAAATAGAATGTCAATCTATGCAGAGAAGATATACAGTCTAGAAAAGATGAAAATAGATTGTTGTATAGAACAGAAAAAAAAACGACCGTTTGCGACAGGAAATCGACACCATAAAACGTTGGCATTATTATTCATCATTTCATTCGATTTCTCGTACATCAACAAGTAACATTCGCAAATAAGCACAAAATATGTGCATTGTACGTAGGTGTAACTGCGCAGATTTGAGTTTTTTTCACGAGAAAAGAAACAAAGAATTTGTATTTTTCTGTTGAAATGTATTAGTGAAGATTATTAATTTACATTAATAAAAAAAAGCTGATACACTTTGAATTATTAAAATTTCTGCTTACAAGAAAATGTAAAAACATATAGCCAAGCAATGAATCATAAAATCATGCATAATTAATATTCTTCTATTTCTTTTAGCCAGATATTTGCCCATGTTCTGATTCAATAGACATATGTCTCTGTTGTATTCCACTCGATTTACTCTGCTGCTGTTTACCTTGTTGTCGACCACGGTAAATATATTTTCTTGCATGTATAATATTCATCAAATTTTCTTTTTTTTTTTTTCTCTATTTCAGTGAACGAGTCGTCTATGTGCCTACAGCTCAACCCATGTATACACCACAAGGTTATCCTTATGTTGTAAGAGAGCCTAACGCGCGTTATTAAAAATCCCAATAAATGAATATTATATAATTAGAAGAAAAGACTTTCTTTTTATTTTTACTCTAGTCTTTTAAAATGTTTTTTTTTTTTGTTTATTTTTTCATCAAATGCTCATGAATATATAATTAAACATGAAATAAATTTATGAACAGGTTTTTAAATAACAATTTAGTATTTATTGATAATAAAGTTCAATGTTCATGCCATCATGAATTTCTACAAAAAAGAAAAAGAAAAAGCAATAAATAAATAGATAAAAATAGAGATATAGGCTGACAAACCGTAATCAGCAAGAGTGATATTGTCTTTGTATATATTATCTAAATTAAATCAAAATTTTCTATATAGATTTTCATTTCCGTTACTTCAATAAATTAGCTAGAAGAAAAAATATGCAGAATTTCATGAAAAAAATTAATTAATTATTAAAATGAATGCTTTCAAGAAAAAAAAAAGAAAGAAAGAATTTTCATAGTTGTCGATTAATCAAAAAAAAATGATATGACAAAGAATTTCATTTGTTACTCATAAATACAAAACGTTTTGGATTAGATATGTGCGAGGTCAGAACAAAAGAATTTTATTTATTATAATTATTAGTTAGGTTTTTAAGTATTATTAATCTTCATAATTTTTATGATGAATTCATCTGTGAAATAAAACAAATAAAATAGGTTCTTTTGCAATACTTACACCACTTCTTCAAAACAATTTTTTCAGCTTTTGTACCAGTTTGAGCAGCAATTAATTTTTTTAAATCACCAATAGTATCATTTGGATTACATTTAACACGTACTTTTTTACCCAAACGATCGTTACAAATAATTTCAATCATTGTTTTATGTATTAATTATCAAACAAATATGAAATATGCAAGAAAGGAGCAATACCTATTTTGATATTGATATCTATTGGTTATTTAAAATAAACCAATCATAATCATTGTTATCGTGTATTTACTTAAAAGAAACTTCGAGAAGATTTTTGATAAATTTATACATAAAAATAGTGTTCTGATTTTAATAATTATCATTATATTTTATTTTTCATAATCAAATCATAATTGTGCATTCGTGTGTTTTACTAGCAGCCATTCTATACTTTCTTTTTCTTCCTGTCTATGAGTGGTTCGGCATCGTCTTGAGTTTACTTGCTTGCTCTCTACAATTACTATTACAGCAACTACTGTTTCTTCTTCTTCTTCTTCTTCTTCTTCGTCTTCGTCTTTTCTTTGCTCGATCTGTCTTTCTCTCTCCACCTGAATCGACAACAGAGTCGGTTTCTGTGTGTGTCGTCGACCAGAAATAACCTTCTTCTATAGTCGCTTCTTCTGTTGCTCCTATTGCTACATCACGACTAGATTGTTATTGCGACAAACGACAATAAGAACGGTCTTCTTCGTTTTGTTGCGTTTATATAACGCATGCTTTTAGCATACTTATGTTGAACTGATATATGCTTTTAACTAACAAATGATGATGACCCAACGTCCACCTCCTTCTATTTATTCATTTTTATATAAACTATCAACATCAATATTATCTGATTTTCTTCTATTATCTGTATGAAATATAATAGTACACTATTTAACAAAATTTTCAATACTATTAATAACAATACAAATAAGAATAATAACAACAACAACAACAACAACAACAATATCAATCCTATCAATACTAATATCAACAGCAGTAATAATAATACGAACAATATAAAGGTCTCCCCTACAACAACAACATCTACTATAAATATGGCTGCTGTTTTAAATAATACACCAATATTAAATTCGATTCCAACATCAACTCGTTTTACAGATGAATATGATCTTAAAGAAGAACTTGGCAAGTAAGTAATTTATATATATATATATGTATAAATTCTTTTTTCATTTTTTTCATCTTTTTGATTGATGACATGAATAAATGTAGCAAAAATGATTGACTACCTCTCTTGAGTCCAGTTTTATATTTACATAGATAGTCATGTTATCCTCATCATTTTGTCGAATTGTACTATTCCATTCCATTCTGATTAATCGTGCTTGCATGTCGCGGATATTACTTTTTCCTTATTCTGTTCATCATTGTTCCCATTGCTCTCATATTTATATTTTGATCTCATCATTTTTTACTAAAAAAAAAAAAAAAAATAACTGACTAACCAGTCTATATGAATGAATGAATGGAAAAACCCGATCATCATAGATGCAGTGTTGTCGTTCAAGACTACGAAGACCAAACGTATATTATCATAATTGAGGGAACGACAAAAGCAGGAAGGAAAAAAAGAAAACGGCATTATCATCAAACCAACACTCGTCTTGCTACAACTAGTTCAATTAATTGTTTGAATATAGAAAAGGGCAAAAATAGAAAAGATCTTCTAAAAAAGAAAAATTATTCATCCATATAGAAGTGGTAACAAGAAAAAAAGATATTTATGTTGATAGTTACTTTTGCTCATGGGAACAGACAATACAAAAAAAAAAAAATATGTGTGCACGCGTGCTCGTGCATATAAAAAAAAAAAATTTATGAATAATGAATTTCAATCAATTAGATGCAGTACTAATCTATCTATTGATCATTATTGTTTTATTGTTTGTAGAGGTGCATTTTCCATTGTACGAAGATGTATTCAAAAAAGTACCGGCCAAGAATTTGCTGCTAAAATTATTAATACAAAAAAATTATCTACACGAGGTAAAAAAAAAATAATTAATTAATTAAAAATATCTAAAAACAAGAATAATATAATCAAATTTTTTTTATCTAGATCATCAAAAACTTGAACGAGAAGCTCGTATATGTCGACAATTAAAACATTCAAATATTGGTAAATTATTTGTTGTTTATTTTTGAATTTTTTTTTTTTTGATTACTTTTTATATATTTATAGTTCGCCTTTATGAAAGTATTGCTGAAGAAGGTTTTCATTATCTTGTTTTTGATCTGTAAGTTAATTATTAGAAAAGATTTTTTAAATTGTTATTTTTTTTTTGTATAGAGTTACTGGTGGAGAACTATTTGAAGATATTGTTGCTAGAGAATTTTATAGTGAAGCTGATGCCAGGTAGAATTTTTATTATATGTTTTGTTATTCTTAATTTCTTTTCTATATTAGTCATTGTATTCAACAAGTTCTTGAAGCTGTACGACATTGTCATGAAAGTAATATTGTACATAGAGATTTAAAAGTAAGAAAATTTTGTTTTTAATATTTACCATTTTTATTTTTATTTTTTGTTTTACAGCCAGAAAATCTTTTACTTGCAAGTAAAACAAAAGGAGCAGCTGTCAGTAAGTTAAACTAAAAGAAGATAATAAATTTTGTTTATTTATTTATTTTCTTAATAATTTAATAAAATAAATTCTTTTAGAACTTGCTGATTTTGGTCTTGCTATTGAAGTAAATGGTGAACAAACACAATGGTATGGTATGTATCATTTGATATCTTTATTATTTTAATAACTAAAAGAAAATAATCAGATAGATAATAAAAACATTTTTTTTTTAATCTTTTCACATAGGTTTTGCTGGAACTCCTGGTTATCTTAGTCCTGAAGTGCTCAAAAAAGAACCTTATGGTAAACCAGTTGATATCTGGGCATGTGGTAAATTTAATATAAATGTCAAAAGAAAAAAGAAAATTCTTGTCTTTATATATATTTAGGTGTAATTCTTTACATTCTTCTTGTTGGTTATCCACCATTTTGGGATGAAGATCAACATAGATTATATAATCAAATTAAAGCTGGAGCTTACGATGTACGTTTATTTTGCAAAAAAACAAAAACAAAAATAATAGAATATATATATATATTTTTTTTAATATTTAGTATCCATCACCAGAATGGGATACAGTTACAACCGAAGCGAAACGTTTAATTGATTCAATGCTTAATATCAATCCGAGCCGACGTATTAGTGCTACAGATGCATTAAAACACCCATGGATTTGTGTAAGTTTTAATCAAAAAAAAAAAAAGAATGAAAAACACCAAACATTAACTCTATATACAATCTTTTCCTCTCAATCGATAATATTTGCTCATATATATATTTTTTTATGGTCCATTCACCGTTTTGTTTGCTCAATGAATGGAGAAGAATGAGAGAAAAAAAATGTTGATGTCGCAAGAATGTTAATCGAACTGACTACATGACAGAATAGAAAATCTTGGTAGTATGTTCTGGCAATTTTTCCTTTCTTCCATCTTTTTTTTTTCGGAGATTGTAATAGACGGAAAAGGATCAGATCTAAAGTTCAAGCTTTCGATTAATAGAAATCGTTTTTCTTTTTGTTTTTTTTTAGCAACGCGAACGAGTCGCTGGTACAATTCATCGACAAGAAACCGTTGATTGTTTACGTAAATTTAATGCACGTCGAAAATTAAAGGTAAATAACCTTGATATGATAGAAAAAAGAGTAACGCATGTATGTCGTTATTATTTTCTTTTCTGTCGATATCACATATTGAATAGAACGACAGAATGGTTATACTTGCTTCCGAGTGGGCTAACTAAATAATAGAGAAAAATCATTTAGATAGAATAACTGATTGAGAATAATAAACAAAAATAGAGTTAAACTATGTTTTTAGTTATAGTCTGTTTTATCTGTTTTATTGTAAGTAATCTTTAAATAAAGATAAAAATTTATTTTTATTATTATTATTATCATTATTATTATTATTATTATTTAGGGAGCTATTCTATCGACAATGTTTGTTAATCGTACATTAATACCCAGTAAGTAAAACAATAGAGTCAAAACAAAAAATATCTATATATAGCGAAACATAGATTTCCTGCATATTATCCTTTCCGTAAATTTTTTATATTGCTTATTATTATATCGGACAAGGCTTTGAATGTTAGCGTGTGTGTGCGTGTGAATGTGTGTGCTTTTTTGGTTCCTAAATAATTTTACGAATTTGATTAATATATTATTCTTTCGGTTAAATTTTAATATAATTTATTTTAACGTAGATAACAATTGAAATTGAAAATTTATATTTCTATTCATAAAGAAATATCTGGGATAACATTGATTATCTATAAATTGTACAGCATTGAAGATAGACAATTAGTTTCTTTTCTTTTCTTCTTTTATTGACATAAAAAATACTACTATTAATATAATACCCATCTTCTTCCATTAGTTACAAAGGAAACTGTGTTTGCTGTTATATATGTGTTTTTCTTTGCCTGCATAGCAAACATCTTGTTTGTCGTTCTTGGTTCTACCCTATATTTGTTGTCATTATTTTTATGCAGTCGCGTTTTTTTATCCCATCCCTCCACTATCTTTTCTCCTATACCAGCATAGCTTTTTTCTGTCCTTCCAATAATACATTATTCCTTTTGATTTGGATATGTGGGTGTATTCGTTCTCTACCAACTAAATAAATAGTATATGTGATCTTGATGTGTATATATGCATGTAATTCATATGGACAAAAGCTTTGACTGGAAATATCGTCGATGGGTCAATTTTTAGATTCAGCTGCATTTGCTAGTGCTTCTAGTGGAAGTACACAAACTCCAACTGATGGAAAAAAAACAACAGTGGCAACAACAAGTGGTGGAACATCACCGGTTACAAATCTTGCTGTATCGTCTGTTATGTCAGCTTTCTCTAGTGGAGGTACGCGCAATTATTTGTAAATATATGTCTATGCATATATTGATGTTTTCACCACTTGTTCACTTTTTTGCATAATATATGCCACCTATATAGTTCTACCGTATATTTGTTTTTGTCCGATATAATTTTAATGGTGCAATATACTTTGACATCCTGTGTTTGCTTATATTAAAAGAAAAAAAAAGTATGACGATAGATCGGAGATTGGTTTTTTTATTTTATTTTCAGGTAATCGTTCCCGAGCGACACCTCAAAGTGGTAATAGTGGTATTAAAGAATCTGGCGATAGTAATAGTGCAACAATTGACGATGCAAATGATAGTGAACGGATTGATCGATTAAGTAAGAAATAAATGACTTCTATGTTATTTTTATAATATAGCATAAAAAGTTTAAACAAAAAAAAAAGAAAAAAAAACAATAGCAAACTCTTTCAAAATTGTTAAGGTGTAGAAAACAAGAATTCATCTCAATCACCAATATCACCTATCATTATTGATTCACAATCTATAACAACAGTCGATATGAGTAAGCAAGAAAAATGAAAATAACGAGCTGCTAATTAATATTCACAATTATACCTATTTTTTGCTTCATTGATTTATTTCAATTTGATCTTAAATAAAATAAATAATTTTTTTTTTTTTTTGTGATATTTAGATTCGGAAATAACCAAAGTAACTGAACAATTATTACAAGCTATTGCTAATAGTGATTATGAAATGTATAAGTAAGTAAAAAGAATTCATGAAACTTTGTTTTGTTTTTTTTTTTTTTTGTATAATTATTATTATTATTATAGATCATTATGTGATTCGAAAATTACATGTTTCGAACCAGAAACGATAGGCAATCTTGTTGAAGGTCTTGATTTTCATAAATTCTATTTTGATACAGGTACGTAAATTTAAATTAATAAAATTTAGAGACTAAATCTAGTATGTACTTCATGTGATAGACAGTATTAAACATGAGAAAGAAAAAAAGAGATTAATAATGAGGTACTTTTTTGTCAACATAATTGAATAAAATTTTGTCGAAGTAATACATTAATTTGAATATTAATTCAAATCGAGAACTAATCTACATTAATTATTATAAAAGATTATTTTATGTTTTTTTTTTTTATTACATCGAGTAGAAGTAAGTTAAAGCTTACAATCGAATTTCTGAATCTTATTGAAAGTATTATCTGTAAATCTTACTTATTTTATATAAGTCATTTGCTAATTCCAACAATAGTTTTTTGTTTTTTGTTTTTAATAAAGATGCTTTAGTTTACTTTTTTTTCTATATTTTGTTTTTGTTAAATACCTGAATATTTTCAGGGCGATTTGCTCGCTCCGATACAGGTAAAAACTAATTTTTATTTTTTTTTGCTGCTGTATAATGTGGTGAATTTTGATGTTTAATGTTTTTTTTTTTTTTCTATGATATGAATTAATTATTTTATTTTTTAGTCTTATCAAGTAAAGCAACTAAACCAACAATCAATTGTACAATGTTAACACCAGTTGTACATCCATTAGGAGATGAATCAGCTTGTATAGCATATGTTCTTCTTCTTCAATATATTGATCGGTATAAATAGAAAATGTATATTAATTTAATGTTATAATAATTATTTGAATATTTAGAAATGGTCAACCACAAAGTGTACGAACAGAAGAAACACGTGTATGGCATAAAAAAGATTCACGTTGGCAATGTGTTCATTTTCATCGTTCGGGTATGCCTATTGCTACAGCTATAAAATCATCATTTCCTCCAGCATCAATGTAATTCTGTTCATTATCATCATCACTTTTATTGATTATGTCTAAAAGAGAGTGTGTGTGCGTGTGTGTGTTTGATCATCTGTTTATGGACTGTCACATCAATATATTGGTTTGATTTTTGTGTACCCTTTTCTTTCGAATATTCATTCCTCTTTTCTTTTATGTTGTTTTTAATGTCTTTGGTTTTTTTGTTTGTTCATTATGACCAACAATAAATTATCAGTTTTGATTATCACTATTACCTCATATTCTTTATTGTGCCTATATGACACTATGGATTTATCTTTTGTGAAAAAAAAAATGTATTTATTCTATTTATTTTGTCTTTTGTGTTTCCTTTTCTTGTTTGACAAAAAAGACAGAGAAAGATATTAATTAGGCCTCTTCTTATATGACAAATTTATCTTTTTTTTTTCTTTTTCTTTTCGTGTTTGTTGTTGTTGTTGTTGTTGTTGCTCATACCTTTCTTCTTTTTCTTTTTCTTCTTTATTGCGTTGTGTGAAAACGAATTAATTACAAAAACGTATTTTTTTTTCTTCTTTTTTTGGCTTATTTGTCCTTTCGTTTTTATCTTTCTTTGGATCGGTGATGATAATCAGAAGATTCGCTTCTATTTCAAATGAAAACAAATAAAATAATTGACAAGAATATTTTAGGCATTTCTTTTTCTTTTTTTTTTGGAACTATAATCAATTTTGACATTCTTCAATTGTATTTGAATATGAATTCTTCATATCTAATTAAATTTTGTATAATAAAAATAAATATTAGAAGTGTCACTTTGATGTTATGTTTCTAGAAACGCGAACACGAGATAGGTTTGCATTCTTATTGTTGTTAATCGTACGTTATTTGCATGTCGAGTCTAACAATATATTATGCAACAGGTAAAATTCTTCACTTCCTATATGGTATAATAACATAGAAGTGAAATAATCAGATGATGATCAAAATAATATCACATATTGTATGCAACAAATTAATTCATTAGTTCATTAACCTATAGATTCAAAAATGCTACTAAGATGAAAATTTAGTACAATCGCCTGTTGAAAAATCTTTTATATACATAGAAAAGAAAATTCCGACCTCATTGAGATAGTTCATGGCAAATTATAAAGATTTGCCCATTGGAAACACATCAGCAAGAAAATGTCAAGGGACAAGTGATATATATTAATTGAATATCGACACGATAGTGGTGTAAATCAATTCGTCAGAATCATAAATACAGTCTTATTTAAGAAATAGAAGAGTATTAGTTACTGCAGGCGTCTTGCTAATGATTGTTTAGTTCTTCGTTCACGTTTTGTTTTCAAAAACTAAACACAATATTAGCCGAAGTTAGCATGTGTAATAGTCTTACATAAAAAGATATATAAACATTGTGATACATATAAAAATATACTAGGAAAACATAATTTAATACTGCGTTCTCATTTCTTGAGTGCTGAATGTTCAGGAACGAGAAATATGACATTCATATTTGAAATGCTATACACAATCATATGGTTATTTCTCTTAAAAATTCAATTATTTATAGTAGAATTATATTGTTTGATCCAAAATAGAAGCATAAATTCACATGTGAGTTGATTAGCATCAACATTATTAGAAAAAAAAGCACATACTAGGTTCTTGCCTGATTAAATTTAAAGTCTCGAAAGATGATTGTAAATTCTCGAGAGTGAAACACATCGTGAATTGCAATTCTCAAGAATCTATAAGTTTCTTTTTTTTTTTTGAGCTATAACTCTTTGGAATTCGAAATATCGTCATATAAAAAATATATCTATTAGAAAACATAATCTGAAATGTATTCTTGTGCCTTGACATAATGATATATTTACAAATGAGAAGTCTGACAAGTCTAGTAAACATGTTTTATTGGTTATATATTTATATTCAAGGATATTAATTGAGAAAATAGTTTATAGATAAACAAAAGAACAATTAATCAATTGATATGTCAATAATAATATTTTACTGAGATTATATTTGAATTTGTTCTTATTAAAAAATGTTTGTTGTTTGACAAGAGATATTTATTCAGAGAAATTGATTGATCTATCCAAAGATGTATCGTTAAGAAAAATTAACTGAATTGATACAGTTTCCCGTTTAGAATAAAATATAATGGTAGTCCCAAAAGAAAAATGTTACGAAGATTATACAAATATTTAACTATAAAATTTATTATTTATTTATCTATAAAGTTCTTGTAAAATTTGATAATTAGAATCTCGTGAGATTTCATACGATCATAATTTTGAATGTCACTTATACAATTAGTTTTCATAACGATAGTTTTGTACAATTAAATAAATATTTAAACTATTAAATGTGTACTAATTTAGATGTTACTTTTTTATTATTGAAAATACATCTATATAATCGTATTGATCTGCTAACAAGATCATATATCATTGATAATTTAGTAAATTTGATAGAATTAGTTTTTACTTTTCTTTCAATTATTTAGTTTTTCTAGGGATGACTTTGTTTTCATGTAGTTTTTGTAGAGAAGTATACATATGCAAGTAAAGATCAACGACTCTGTAAAGAAAAAAAGAGATGATAGAAGTTGAAAATAGAAGAAAATCAACTATGCAAACTTATGGGAAATCATACAAGAATCTCGCAGTATGATTATATCAGAAAAGGGTGACTTTAAGATTGGCATATAAAATTGTACAAGATCTTCTAATAGAATTGTTTGATCTCGAAGGTCGTATGATATTTATTTTTTAATGAAATCGATATGATAATTGATAGTATTTATAGATGATATTTATGATTCAAGAGGTACATTGAATGATGAATAAAGTGACATGAGAGAAAAAAAGTAATTAGTTCAAGAATTGAAAAGAATATTCCATATTGGGATTAAATAATATTTGTATCTGATGAATAAAGATCTTGATTATGAAATGCACGCATGATCATTAGATATGATTGACAATAGATATCCTTGAGTGTTGTACAATTAATTCGATTACTTTGAACTCTTTATATATCATGTAAAAAATCTAACATTAGTAAGATTGCATTTACTACCTTGACTTTCGTATAATCTATTGACCGGTTCCTCTCTTTGAATCATCATTTTTAAATATCGTTTTGTTTTCTGATTATTAAAATAAGAAATATAGTTAAAGATTTTTTTCTCTAATCATTATGAGTTTATCGTGTCAGTATTAAATTTCAAGTTGAAATTTTCTATAAAACAAGTAATAAACGTATGTTTACGACCTCTATTATTTAAAGCAAATAATTTTTACATTTATATCTTCATCATTAACATATCTATAATTCATTTTCATTTAGAAAATTTTGTTTAATTTGACTTCTATTTCAGAGTTGGTTACTAAGCAATCGATCGACCATATTAAATTATGAGTTGATTATCAACAAGAAGAAAAAGAAGAGTTGTCGTCGTCGATCGACACTGTGTTTCCAAGTGACTGGCGTACCTATGGCGACCTTGCTTGCCACAAACTCGCCTTTTTTACCATCATTCATTTATTCTCTCATATTGTCTTTTGAGATATGTTCAAAAATACATTTCAAAGTGGCTTTCTTTCGATACTCTATAGTATTGGCAGTAAACCATTACAAATCTGGGATAAAAAAGTTTGTTTAAGATTTATATGAAAATATCAATTCGTATGTTTCTTTTTTTTTTGTTCTCTTTTTTAAGGTACGTAATGGACATATCAAACGAATAACAGATAATGAAATTCAATCACTTGTGTTGGAAATTGTTGGTACCAATGTTAGTACAACATATGTAACATGTCCAGCTGATCCAAAAAAAACACTTGGAATTAAATTACCATTTCTTGTTATGATAATTAAAAATTTAAAAAAATATTTTACATTCGAAGTACAAGTAAGAAGAAAATTTCGTTGTTTTTTTTTCTTTTTCCTATAGAAAATATTCTATTTTCTATCTCGAAATAAGGTACTTGATGATCGCAATGTTCGTCGTCGTTTTCGTGCTAGTAATTATCAATCAACAACACGTGTAAAACCATTTATTTGTACAATGCCTATGCGTCTGGATGATGGATGGAATCAAATTCAATTTAATTTGTCTGATTTTACACGACGTGCTTATGGTACTAATTATATTGAAACACTCAGAGTTCAAGTATGTTGATTGATATAAAAATATAAACTAGAAAATCTTTTTTCCTGAAAAACAAAAAAAAAAACAACTATTTATTTTATAGATTCATGCTAATTGTCGAATTCGACGTGTTTACTTTTCTGATCGACTCTATTCGGAAGATGAATTACCACCGGAATTTAAATTATATTTACCGGTAAATATATCAAATTTAATCTATGTATTTTTTTTTTTTGTTTTCTAATTTTATTTTTAATTATAGGTTCAAAAGAAATGATTAGAATTCATCATTTACATTTCTTTTCTTTTTTTTCGTTCTATTTTCTACATTTTTTTTTTGCCAAAAAGACAATAACAATAAATAAACATCATAACTATATACCACCAATAATAACTGTGTATATTTGTGATTTTTTTTTTAAATATGAATGTCAATTTGTTTTTGTTTTCTTACGCTCGTATTACATTTATTATCCGTCAAGTATGAATGAAAATATATAGTATATGTTTTATTGACAATAGTACTTTAAATGATATATATATATATACATATATAATATAAAATCGAAATGAAAGTTAGATTAAAAAGATTGTTAGTGATTGTGTTGTAAGTTTGAATTTGAAGAGTTTTTCTTTTTCTTCTTTTTTTCATTATTCGAGATTATCTAAATATCATATACAAAGCTGAATTTTAATCGATAATTAAGATTATTGAATTTTTCGAAATAAAATGTTCGATAAAAATAGTTTGTCAATGATTTTTAACGAAAGATTATTCAGTAACTACGACAGAACTATATTTGTATAGCTTGACAACTATCAAAATAACATTAACACATTAAAATTTCTTCATACTTATATTTACAATTCGTGACATAATTGTGCTTGACAAGGAAATGACAAAAAAAAAAACGCTCGATTGACTATTAAAAAGCATAGAAAACTGTAAGAAAGTTAATTGTTAAAAGTTTATTAGGAAAATTATTGTAACTCATGTAATCATTTCTTAACAATTTAGATCTTTTTTCAACACAGAATAAGAAACGTAAGATTCAAGGTAAACATATTTTTCAGTTTAGTAATATTTGATTTGATAAAGCTTGGTAAGGTGGCTATGAATTAGTGTTGAAAAAGAAGACTCAGAAACCAATAATGTAATATTCATAATAGATAGCTTTAGAACATGTGTTTACAGGCATTTTTATATATCTATTTAGTTATTTGTGATAGAAGAAAAGATCAAATACTCTATCTCATTATAATCATCAGATTTCAAGCTATATATGTATCTCTATATTTTTATGTAATTTTGTTTTATTGTTGAGAAAATTGAACATTTTCTCATTTTGTTGGTATAAGGATCAAAAATGAATTTGTGTTTTCTACTTTTTATTATCATAGTTAGATTGAAAAGATACATAAATAGTAAATTCGAAATTAGCATTAAGAAACTATATCGGACAACGTACATGCTAGCGAAATCTATCTACAACGCAACCACAGACAAAGTTTCGAGAAAAAAAAATACTGAGAAAGTATAAAGACACAATTTCCCATGAAGAACAAATTCCACTAGTATGCATGTTATCGGATATAGTTTTTGAAGCTGATTTCAAATTTGCTATCTGTACTTCTTTTGAATTTAGCCATGTTAAAACAAAAGTAAAAAATAATAAATCTAATGATTATAATGATATGAGAAATTCGATCTTTTTCTTACAAAAAAACTAGATAAGTTTAATAAACTGTCTATAAATACATAAATAATAAAATACTTTTAGAGAGCTTCGCAACTTTAGTCAGACATTTAATGTTATTACTTTTCGACTCATCTTTTCTCAGATATAGAGTCATCCAACTGAAATAAAAGGTATAATATGCGTAACCAAGTCGTCAAACTCTATCAAAGCATATATCAATAAATTTCAAAATAAATGTCACTTGAATTTCGTGTTCTTTGTATCTTACTTGAATTAAAAACAAAATAATATACTTGTCTTCTTTTGTGTAAGTCTTCGAAATTAAAAATATTTTTATAGTTTTCAAACAAAACGACAATACATATTTTTTTTAGACGAAGTGTACATAGCGATGAGTAGGACTCATATTCTCTCTTTTATGGATTCATTGCTATTTTCAATTCACTCATACTTTGTCTATTGTGTATTCTATAATTCTGTTGTTTACGAAAAAAATGAAACTAAATTTGTAACAGTAAATATTGAAGTGATAGTTACTCAATAATTTTCACATAAACTTTTAAACACATGAACTGTGAAGATATGACACTTGAAACAAGCCTTACATAAGTACAAAAGATATGACTTCTAATGAAAAAGTGTTCGGGACCATCTTGTCCATATTTAAGTGCATCATTCATCTCTTGATTTGTATCATATCAGAGTGCATAATTGTTTGACAATCAGCACTGGTTTGAAATATGGACTGGACTGTTTGAGAACCAACCAATATTGGTTTCACCTTCGCTGTAGACGTTAATAACGATGAATATTCTTCATTTAGAATTCTGAATCTAAGAACTATTCTTTTTTGAATAGTAATATATTTCGATTATTATAATTGAAAGTATCGTTAACATCGAAATAATATTTTCTTTTTTTAAATAATGCAGGTTCATTAAAACCAATATATTGAACAATAGATGAGAATCAAGACGAAAAGATACCTCTCAGATGTGCGAAAACTATTCGAGACGCTCTTGACTCAGAAACATTCTAATTGCATGAAATTTTCAGGATATATTGAGGCTGTAATAGAGATACTATGATCAAGTTTTCATCTACAATCGAGACCAGATGATATATCATCATCAAGTGTTAGATGTCCGAATGAAGATTCAAATTTGATCTTAACAAAAGAATAGCCAATTTTGTGATTTTCTTCATGCCATTTATCACTATCGACTAGATTTGATTCACTTTTGAATAGTTCAATTGTCATGGATACAAATCTCTCAATATCAATTGTTGCTTCGGTACGATTCACCTTGTAATCAGTCGCTAGATGAGACTCTATTGAACGCTTACCATGATTAATTCAACTGTCAAGAAATCAAAAATTGTTCTTGACTAAAAGGATAGGAAGCGAATTGATAATTGAGAACATAGAATTTCTCACAAAACTATGAAGCAATGCAGAGAAATATACCTTCGTGATTGAAAAACTTGATTTTAATCGATTTATAATCAAATAATAATTGATTTTGGTCGTGTTTCTTGCCAAAATTTTTAGTAAAATATATTGATCGACTAAGCCATCTTTTAAGATCAAATTTACTTATTTTCACCAAAGACTATGTGTTTTTCAATCGACACATACGTTAAGTTTCATCATTCTCGAATAAAATGAAATGATTGTCATATCTCATGTCTATTTGTGATTGGTAAAAGCCTTTTATCATTAGGATACATTCGAGAGCAATGAGCATGATATGAGATAGTCCATCACAATAAATGGACAATAGTGTTCTTAAGGAACATTATCGGATAATAAACGTGTGAATTTATTATATGAATAGAAGATAAAGCTCATGTCATAATTACAGTGCTATGGATGTTAGGTAGTTTTTTAATCACCAAGAAACAATACTGTTAGTCTGTATTAAATAAAAGAAAAGGATACTTTTGAAATCTATGAAATATATAGATTAGTAAAGAAGAATAAATACATTGGAAAAGGATTATTTTTAGTTTTAGAAATGTTCTACGAAAAGCAAGTTGATAATTTCGCTTGAATAATCCATGGAAATAAGTATAAATTTATAAAGACGATATAAACTGTAAGGAAGATTAATTACTTAAATGTATCTTTCAATAGTGGTTGATTTCTTGACTGTTCTCCTTTCAAATCGACGATTTTAATAAAGAGTTCACCACTCTCAACCTTAACAGCTTCCTTTATACGAATGGCAACATTTGATTATATAGATGGACATAGTCCTTGTTAACATTCACATTTACACCCACATCTCAACACTCCATTACGTGTTCACCTCTTATGGCTTTGCGAAAGATAAAAAAAGCAAAAACGTCTTTATGGCTTGTGATGTAATATCTTATGTTGAAGGTTTTTGCCAAGGTTTGAGTTGTTGTTGTATCAGAGAATGCAGAGTTTTACGTTCTGTAAAATGAGTCTTTTTTCTGCGGTTAACATTGTTATAATCGCAGACGACAGTTCAAATATACTTGCTCAATGGAAGTGGCATTAAAACTAGGTCCTCATCTAGTTGTTGTAATTTGAAAAACTTATATGAAGATATTCTTTCTTAACGTGATAGTGAGCAGTTGATACCTTTTAGACATCTGGTAATTTGAATACATTTTAAAGATCATTACAATGAATCTTGACTTTAATATAGCTCTTGAAACTAGAGAAAATTTCGACTCTTTCAAGCTTTAAATGAAGACTTGGTAGTTGATTAGACCGGTCAAATGATTAGTTATAATCAGATTTTGAAGGTTAAGATTGACGTCAGAAGCAAAAGAGTTTTAAGAAGCTGACAGAACATGAAATTCTCTACTGATTGATTTATTTAGTTTTCATTTTAATGCAAATCTTTATATGAAAGAAAATTTGAAAAAAAAATGTAAAAAGAAATTAATTTCACAACATTTTATTACCTGTAATATATTGACAAAAAAAAAAAAGACTTTCTTTCAACCACTGAATAATCTCTAAATATATGCTCTAACTTTTCAAAAGTATAATGTATACGTCTTTAAAAAGAAAGACATATGTGTATTACAATTGCTAAATAACAACAATTCATAAGGGTGAAACATACATCAAAAAAGAAAAATTTCATGAAAGAAGAAAAAAAAATTTTTCGGTGTTTCTCTTCGTTTTGATAAAGTTATATTGTTTCAAGAAAAAAACATTGAAAGAATAATTTCACGACATCAGTACGATGATAAAATATAGAACAATAACAACAACAACAATAAAAGAAAAAGGATCTCGTTGGTTGTTTTGTTTCAATGGCAATGTTCATTATAATCAATAATAAACATACGACGCCAAGCAAATAAGAAATGACCTAAACCAGCGCCGAGTATAATAGCCGCAAATAAATAAATATTAAATGTCATAGCTATTAACATTAATAAATAACTAATACCCATTTGAAGAATATGTAAAATTGTTTGAATAAGATGATTAAGACTTAATAAACGAGCTCTAGATATAGAATAAATTTCATTAATAAATTTCAACTAATCATTAAAATTCTATTTTTATTAATCAACTACAACTCACCTTTTATGAGTACAGGCTTTTACTGTTTGAACTCTTGGTATTAAATCATTGTTATTATTAGAATTATCATATTGTTGACCTTGATGATGTAAACTAGAGTAGCAATTAGAGCAATCACCAAAATGTTATTAAAAAAAAACAAAAAAACAAACAACTCTACTTCATATTAGCAATTAACTACATGAGCGCATACGTATTATTTATTTAGAATGAACTTACAGTGATGGTTGACGTTCACGTTCTTGACCACATGGACATCCATCGCGTTTTAATAATTGATCTCGAACAGTTTTTAATCCTTCATAGAGCACAGCAACGAAAAAAATAAGTAACCAAGATCCGATAAATGCTTAAAACAAAAGAGAAGTTTCTTTATTTTTTCTTTCCTGAAATAAAAACCAGGTATTATGAATTATTTACCACCCATTGTTTGTGTATGCCATTGTTCAAATAAAATTTGTTCTTTGAAACCACCATGGAAGGTCATCTATTGAAAAGAAACATGTTTTTAGATCTAAATATTGTCAATGATTATCATATAAGTAATCAATAAACTATATGATATAATTAATTATTAGTTAATAGCAAATTAAATTAAAGGATAAATATAGAAATTGAAATGATCGAAAGCAAATAAAACAAAAATTATTTGCATAATCAATAGCTTAAATCAAAATAATTATCAATATGAATGCATACAACTCTACGCACCAAGCACAAATAACGCCTTAAAAGCAACCAAAGAAAAGCAACATAGTCAAAAATAATGGACCATTTAGAGAATATCATATTTTATGAAGATTGTTGATAATAAATTTTAAATATTGTTAATTGAATGAGACCTTTCATCAATCAACGGAAAAATATATGTTATGAACTTAACAAAATCTTTAGAAGCACGCTTTTTAGGTTACATCTAATGGTACAATCAAGAATGTAAGAATTGGAAAAAAACATTTGTGTAGTTGAAAAAGTTTTCTATTAGGATTAGTAGGTTCGAAGACTCCAGCGAAACTACTTGGATGAAAGTTTGTGAAAAACTAGAAGGCTCAACAAGCATTTTTCTGTTCTTTTTATTGAAAATTTCGATGTTTTTACCATGTATCATAATTTTGAGGCCTTTTATAAATTGAATGTCATTCAATGAAGACAAATTCTGGAGACGTTGAAGATGTCTCAATTTGCTCTATCAAATAAAGTTTTTTCCTCAAAGTTTTCAATGCAAGCCCTCATCCCCATGGAGTTTCGCTGAAATCTTCAAGATTGTCCTACCATTCACAACCTCCTAGGTACTGTCCAGTTTCCGTAAGAATTGTAACAATAAAGAGATTATTAAAACTTCTGTCGGAAATCGGACTGATTGTTGAAATTCTATATAATCTTCAGATTGAAAAATAACAAACTGCAATTATTCAGCTTGTTTTTTTTTTCTTTATAGTCTCTTCAAGATATAGAATCTAAATTCTTTTAGAGTTTTTATTAAAACATCATGTAGTATCTACAAAGAGGAAGTAGGCAACGGAAACGATTCCCTCGTAAGCCTACTTTGTTGAATGTACTGTTCAATTTTTTATTTTGTTTCTTGTTATTCATTCTTTAGATTTTTATTTGATGACCTTGTAATTTTTCTTTTTATTTATTCAAACTTATTTCTCTTATACTAGAATAGACTTCATACAAATAAAATTTGTACTTGTTTTTTTTTTACTGCGAATTCAATATATTAAACTGTTCCATTAGCAATATTGGCAAAAGGTAGAAGACTAACCGAATTTTTGCAATTGAAAATAAATAAGGCTTTCTATTTTTAGAAACTGAAGGACATTGATTGAAAGTAAATATGCATTATGTTTTATTCTTTTATTGAAATAATGATCGAAATTTCGATATTGACAATGTGCTGACTTCCTTCCGAAATACAGAATCTACGTGTATCGCAAAGATAAATAATTAATTTACTTCTTTTGCTTGTTTAATATACAACAATGAAAAATAAGTAAACAAAGCACGTTTTCTTTTTTTTTTCTTTTGTTCTTATAGATTCATAATAAAAACTTTATAATATAAACATGTCTTAAACGATATAATTAAGTATTTTATGACTATCTAACACGAAATCTGTTTTCTTTTCATTTGAATAACTAAAGAAATAATTTATTTAATAGGCATAACAAATGTCCTTTCATGTCTTTTTTTTTTATAAAACATGTTCTCAGTAGGAATTATTGTCTCATCTATGATTATATTCAAATCATCAGTATTAATGCAAATATTGAAAAATTGCATACTCACTGCCATTATCATATCATGAACATTAGAACCATGTGCACTATGAGCTGAACTTGTATTTGTTTGTTGTTTCATCATTTCATGAACATGGGTCATCATCGTAGCTGTAGTAACAACTATATCATCATGATGATGCATATGATCATGATGGTCGTGATCCATGTTAAGTTCTAAAATTATAGATATTTTTATATATTTATAAAAAACAAAATGACTTTTCACTTTGTTTAATATCTATCAATGAAAAAGACGCGTACGTTAGAAATGAACATCGAATCTGTTATCTTAAATCTTTTTCCATCATTGTTTCCTTTTCAATGATGATTGAAAAAAATCAAATAACAACAATCAATATCAAAAGAATATTAAGTCTTTGCTAATAGCCTCCGAAATATAATCACCGTTATATGTATGAATACAAATGACAGAGTTGAAAAAGATGCAAAACACCTATCAACTAATTCTACTCGGTACGACTGCATTCGATAGGGAGACGTTCCCTAAAGGAAAGAAAAAAAACGAATAAAAATATGTATGCTCTGCAATACAAGAAAAAAAAGCAGAAGTACAATCAACAAAACTCAAGTAAATTTACATAATCGTTGCAGTTTTTGTTGTTGTCGAGCTGGAATCATAAAGTATTCTTTTTTCATGCACAAAAATATTTATACTATGAAGAAAAGAATGGTTTAGAAAGAATGGGAAATCATTGTAAGGGTAGAATCAGGATACCAGATGAATGAACCAATAATGTGTACATGTCGCTCGGTGACTGACGAATGAGGGCGCTTTTATTTGGATTAGAGCAAGTGCATGGGAAGAAAATTTTTCGTTGTTCAAAGATTATTTGATAAGTCAGAACAATTTAAAAGTATTTGATCAATGATCATTTAATGAAAAAGTGCAATCAATCTAATCGATCAACCCAAACAAAATGTTTTTTTTTCTCCCATTATTCAGAGAAGGATCATGATTTCTATGAAAAATTTCAATAGAAGAATCCGTTCATGATTATTTTCGTCTGATAGAAACGATTTAAACAAATTCAATAGTATACAAAACCTTGAATAGAAATTTATTTGTATGATATAATAAGAACTTTTACAATTCTTAGTTGCAAAGTCAATAACTTGATTTAAAACGTATTATTATTCTCATTGTCTTAATCTAGGCTTTTATATTATGTAATTATAAGTATTCGTCATCACATTTGTCTAACTTTTGATTGTCATATTATACTGCTAGTGTTTGTGATGTATATCATTATTACATAATAGGTTCATAAGAAAAGACAAGAACCGATTATGCTTATGCAGATTAGATGAGAAACCATTGAAGCGAAATAGCACAGAAAAAATTACAATAGTTCTTTTTGTTTGGAAATATTAATAGAAAAGAGTCAAATGTTAAGTTTTACTCATTTGTAATATCAAGAATTTATACTTCTCTTCTAGAGTATAATTTATAAAATATGCTTCGTCACATAAAATAACATAGAATTTTAACGATAATCTTACTAAGTAATTTTAATTACTTTTTCTTATAATAAATAGAAAACCATATCGATAATTGTGATTGATTTGTTTCTCAGATTGATAATAAAAAGAAAATCATGTCAAACGAGGTAGTCTTCAAAGAAATCTCTTTCGATTTCATTGTTTTTTTGCTATATATTGAAACAAAAATTGACAACAATCAAGATAATTTGAAAAAAAAATAGTTTCGTTGCTAAACATAAGTGAACCATTTCATCTTTTTTGTTTACATCTATAAGGTTACATTCATTAGCAACTATAATATAAGAAAAGTGTATTAGGATACAAAACTAAAATGTCGAAAGTTCATTTCGTTGAGATCAAGAATATCTTAAAGTAAAAACTATCTTTGAATTTTCATAGAACAGAAACTATTTCTTTAGAATTGAAAGAGACACTATGGTTGTCTAGTTATATATGATACAAACGATTCAATATTCTTTTCATGAATATTTGAGTTAGTATCGCTTTTCTTTCTATAGTTGTATATTACAATGCTATTACTCAGTCAAACATGAAAGCTAATCAAATGTGTGTATATACATGAATCTTTATAACATTATATGCTTAAGGCCGAATCATAGAGTAAAATATAATCGCGTTAACATGCATGCAAGACAATTTTACAATGACCAAAAATGAACCATATGTAATAAATATACATACTTTACTTGAAAAGATGAACTGCTTCGCTAGTGGACGATCTACTTACATTACAAATGCAATCAAAAATGAAGGATTTAATGATCATTCGATAACTAATAGATATGTCTATGCCTGAATACTAATAAGTATAGGCAAATTCGGACAATTGAACAAGATGGCTAAGCCAATAAAGTTTGGATACATAGTATAATACAAAATCTTAGAAATTTTCTTTCTGATGCAAAATTCTGGTCATCTTGCACAAATACACAAACATGTTACGTGAAACAACTGCAAATATGCGAAATAGCTTGCATCTTCATGGATAAGATACGATGACCTGAAAAATATTTTGCAAGCATATGCAAGTTTCTGAAAATGTTCTGGAAACACAGGTGTTTTTAAGCTTTCGTGTTGATCAGAGTAGGATATGGTTATGTTGCTAATGTAAAAATAAGAATGGTTTTTGAAATTTTTATATATTAACAAATCAAGGAGAACGCATAGCAAGAGAAAAGGGACCAATAAGCAAGAAAAGTACAAGGCGAAGAATACGACATAACTTCGTTGTATTCTTTCTATAGAAGTAAATGTGTGTATATCTTTACATATATGAAGAGCAGTGAACAACTGGATTATATGATATTACACGAACAAAAGAAAAATATTAATCTACTCACAATAACAAAAAATACAATAGATGATATCAACTATAAAAAAAAGATATACAAAATGAGAGAAAAGAAGAGGTTCGTAACAATTGTTCTCTCCACCTCTAAAAGGAGATAAATGTCCGCACATGTAGTTCAGGAAAAAAGAAGTAGATTGAGAGTGTCTCATAACGATATAACATAATTATGAACTTGAAGATTGAAAAGAACAACACGAACAGACAAAAACAAAAATGTAACGCATGTGTCACATACAATACAAGTAAAATTTGAGTATTTATCATCGGAGAGTAGAAAAAGAAAGAGAAAATTATTGTCCATAAGAAGAAAGAATCTTGCTTTTTGTTATTAATGATGTAAACTCTAGTAAATTCTGTAGTAATATTCCTCTCTGAATATTTTATCGTGCAATAATTCATTCATTTGTTTTCATATTTTTCATACATATAATATTATTTAATATATACAATTGTATACAATAGTAATGATGATATGATGGATCTGACGATGAGGAAGATCTGTTATAATAATAGTAATAATAATAATCATACGGACTATAGCAATACAGTGCAACCTCTATATAATGGACACCTAAGGGATCCTTTCCAAAGTATTCACTATAGAGAAGTGTCCACTTTTGAGAGATTTTTTAGTTTTTTTTTCTTAGTAGCCACTTTTGCAATTACTGAAGTAAATCAATCTCTCGTTTCTCTATGTTATTTTGCACAGAAAGATGTGATGAGGATATTTTCTATCAGAATTTATGGAGAACTGCTTTTCTAACATAACTTATGAAGAATTTTGTTTAGACACTTTCGTATCAAGATAAAGATTATCGGTATATCGATCGCTTGGGGCAGTTTCAGAGGTATCTCTTCGATATTTTCGATGGCATCAGCATCGACAATTTCAACAGGAAGATCTCTATTGTCGTTTCATTCATTGAAGATAGGAATGTTAGAGTCAATGTTTTATATTTGTCTCGTTTATTGTTCTTTTTCTTACTTGTCTATTCTTCTTTTGTTTTGTTCTATTTTTGTCTTGTTTCTTTTTTATTGCGTCCATTTCTATTCACTATCTAGCTACATAGCTTTGGCGGAATCAAGAAGTATGGTGAACTTAAACAAATTTTCACAGTCCACAATAGGAAGATGTTCACATTTAAGAGGTTCATTTCCGGCAACAACAGTTGAAGAGAGGGTGAATTACAGTAAAATAAAAAACATGATATATGAAAAGCGAAACTTGTAACAAATGTGTGACGCCAATTAGCACAAGTTAATTTTTATATCATAGACAAAAAATACAATCTATGATTCACTATTTTTATTGACTTTCATTGTATAAAAATTATGTTATCTATCTTTAATTTCTCTGTACAACTAATAATAATTATTTTCATTTACTCTTGCTCAAGTATATCAATATATATTTTGAATACATTGTTTAAATTAGATGTAGTACAGGCAATATAATATTTGTACTTAATAGCACTTTTTTTTCTCTTCATTATTTCTTTTATAAATTGAATAAAAAATAAAAAATGAAACATTAATTATAGCATGACATATCATGTAAGGTATATGAAGTGTCTAATGCTTAATATAAAAAAACAAAGAAAATGAGAAAAACGCTAGGTCTCTTGTGAGAAGAACTATTTCTATCTAAATCAATTTTTTTTTCTGAGACAAGAAAATTATTAATGTAGTCGAACGAGACAAAAAAAAGAAAAGAAGAAAATATAGACCTCAGAAACCATTTACATAAAAGTGTGGAAACAACAACTCATTTTCTTTTTATATTCATTTCAATTGACGCATATTTTAAAAAAAATAAGAAAATATGTTAGCATATCATGATGCATCCATGGGTTTAGGTACTATTCATAGAGATGACATATTATCATATCATGATAATCATGGTTATGAGAATTATCAACATCAACTTAATGAATTAGAACCATCAAAAACACAACAATGTTTAAAAAAAACAACAAAATTTTTATTTTCACATATTGGTCTAGTTGGTCTTGTTGTTGTCTATGCTGTAGCTGGTGGATTTTTATTTCAATTACTTGAAGAACGTCAAGAAAAATTCAATTGTCAAGAAGCACAAAGTAAACAAGTAACTGAAATAAATAAGCTAAAACAAAAACTTGTTAATTATATACAAAAAAATACAACATCATCAATAACTTTTTCTACAGTTGCAAAAGATAATGCAACAATTGCATATGCGAAAATTGGCTCTATGCTATATGAATATCGACAATTTATTATTGATGTAAGTCCAAAATATCAATATTATATTGCTGATTGTGGACGTGTTCGTCAATGGACATATGCTAATTCATTACTTTTTGCTATTACAATTATAACAACAATTGGTTATGGAAATATAACGTAAGTTAAATTTTTCTCAATTGTATATATATATATAAGAAAAACATATTGTTTTCTAGACCAACAACATGTAAGTCTGAAAGAAATTTAAATTTTAAAAATTTTCATCTCTAAATATCATAGGGGAAGGTCAATTAGGATGTATATGCTACGCCACAATAGGTATACCAATATTTCTTTTATGCTTAGCAAATATAAGTGGTGTACTTGGTGAAATGTTTCGTTTTCTTTATGCTAAAGTCTTATGCATGCCATGCTTATTTGTAAGAAATCGTCGTAGATTAGCAAGTAAGGTTGACCTTGAAGAAGAAAATGGAATAAGTACGAATCATGCACCTACAAATGATGAAACATTAGATGATGATATTAGGAGAAATTCATTAAAAATTTCATCAAATAGAATAGTAATTGATGATGAATTAGATGGAGAAGAAAAACGAAAGTATCAACGTGTTGCTGTACCATTAACAGTTACAATGCTTATTATTGCAGCATATATATGGATTGGTTCTGCTTTATTTCATAATTTTGAAGGTTGGTCGATGACTCAAGCAGGATATTTTTGTTTTATTACATTGGGTAAGGAAATTTTCAATTATATAAAAACTAAAAAAAAATCAAAAATTGAACTCCGTTCATTTTGTTTTAGCAACGATTGGATTTGGTGATTTTGTAAGTAGATAGGAAATTTTTTTCTTTGAATTTTTTTTTTAAAGAAACAAAAAGAAAAATATTAATTTAGGTTCCCGGTCAACGAAAAGATGATGCAAATGCAAGTGCAAAACTGATTCTTGGAGCTATATATGCTCTATTTGGAATGGCTATTTTAGCAATGTGTTTTGATTTAATGCAAGAAGAAATAGTAGCAAAATTTCGTTGGATTGGTACAAAACTTTGTATTATTGAAAAAGATGATGAAGATAATAATCAAAATGATAAAGTATCCAGTACTGACAATAAAAATCGTTTATCGACATCATCAATCAATGGTTCTAATACAATGATAAATACAGATCGTACAATAATTGATAATGAAAATGAAAATGGTTTATCCAGACAACGTAATTCAAGTGCAACACGTAAAATTAGTCCACGGAATAATTCAGCTCGTATTCATCCAATTGAACCTAGCGGAGTAAATGAAGCAACTCTTTATCAACGAGTCGCTGCTACAAAATTCAATTAACTTTTCTTTTTTTTTTAACTTGTACACATAACAAAACACATATATGTATATATTAGATCTTACTTGAATCTATTCTATGTGAAATAAATCATCATATGATTTCAATTGTAACATTAGTATATTGTTTCATTCTAATATATAAAAGTTCAATATCTTGAGTTAGAGATTATCGGTCATGCTGATTGTCTAGATTATAGAGCATATCGTATTGCCTAGAAAGCATATAGCTATTTTAATTGATACAGGGTGTGGGTGTTATTTAAAAAATATTGATCTTCACACCCACACCCACACCCTAAACGTTGTGAACGAAGAAAAAACATTAGCTTATTCATTTTAGTGTGTTTTTGTTTTAAAATATAACAATTGTGTCAACAATATCTCTTAAATCAGCTTCAGACACTGAACGGAGTATGGCATTGTTAAATAGAATAACGAATTCATTGTGTTCACAATTTATTCTCGATAGTCATCATATTATAATAAATAAATAGATAGATTGCTTTTAATAAGCTTTTGTTCTTTTTCTCAAACTAATGCATTTTGAAAGCTCCAACAGTGTCTTTTAGAGGCAACCGAACATGCAACACACTCCAAGTCAAATTCAATTCGGACTTTCATTCATATCCACAGCTCTTGATAAGAGATGGTTGAAACCTCCAGAATGTATCAGCGTATACAACAAATATCAGAGAACAATCCTTACTTTTGATAAAAGTTCATATGTTAAAATTGAATTTACGATAAAAAATTGAGTTGACTCTATGCGAGCCCTAGTGGAGGTACTCATAGGCGAGTACTCAAAAAGTACTCACGCTAGAAAATGTCACGAGTACTCATAGGTTTTGAGTACTCAACAGCCGTACTCATGCTAGAATCTGAGTATCTGAGTACGACGATCGAGTACTCGCTGTGTAATATTAAGTGTTTGGTGAGTACTCCTATCTAGTTTCTGTGTACTCTGCTCGCCTAATGTAAAATACTCATAAGCATATCTTTTGGTTAGTACCGTTGTACTACATCAATTTTTATTTAATATTAGAATATTACAAAAACCACAACCGTACACAATGAAAATTTGAGCAAAATGGTCGAAATGAGAACCACAACTTTGACATTAGCTTCACATATTTTAGCATAAAGAATATGGCCATAGCAATCTTCATCATTAGTAAAGAAAGTTAAATTTTTTCTTTGTTTTTCTACAATAAAAATACGATTTTATTGATTCTTATCTTTCCTCTTTCAAAAAATAAATAAAATCGTATTTCATTATGTAAAAAAAAAAAGAAAATAGTTAATTATTTTCTCTAATAATGAAAATTTCTTTAGCTATATCTTGAATACAGAGTACAATAAAACACGAATTAAGGGCAGTAAAATACAGTGAAGGAGAAAAAAAAAATTAATCACTGATAATGAGAAATGTGATAGTAATAAAACGTACAGTATTGCTAGTTATACAAAAAACTGAAACAGATATTTTTACATTCGTAACTATCTACATTTATGCCGGAATCTACAAAAAAATAAATACAGAATAAAATTGTTTGTCGGTAGTGTATTCATGCATCTTCTTGTTTTAAAATTGCGATCGATTTATAATAAAAGTCATTAGTCGTCTTCCTTTTCATAGCATTTGATAGTCAGTTTGAAAAACTATATTTTAACGGAAGATTTTTTATCTAAATTTACAAAATAAAATTAAAGCGAATCTACATTCATATGTTTAAAAAAATTCAATCTCACCTAAGCTAACAAATGAAAACGAAAAATCGTTTTTTCTCTTTCTGAACATCACCATTTATCTTAGTCGTATAGATGACTCATCAAAATGAATAGAGGATCGAGTAAATAAGCCAATAAAACAATTTTTCTCGGGCTTTCATTTTACTGCATCATTTTCTTTTATTATATAATTTCAATTTATTTTTTCTATATACTAGTGCATAAGTGTTTTATTAAACGGTCTGCGAAAAACGACTATGAGTACTACACTGAGTACTGATATATCTGCCTACGAGTAAATCTCTAAAGAAAAACTCGTACGAGTACTCATTAGAGTACACGAAGAGTATACATACACATCAAATTCCTCGAGTACTCGTGCGAGTAATATGAGTACTCACGCTGGAAAGTCGTACTCGCTTGATGAGTATTTTCACTAGGGAGGTTACAATTATCGTCCTCTCCATTAATTGTAGCTTTTTGATATACCATATCGTCTTTCATCTTGAACATCGTTGTTGGATCTCCTGACTTCCCCAGTGGAGATTTTTTTTTCCTGTGCTTGATATACGTAAACCTCTAGATGTATCCACATCACATGACTTTCTTACTCAAGATATTCAAGAACAAAATAAAAACAGAATTAAATTAAATTAAAAAAAGAATTCGCTGGTGCTCACTTCTTTTTACTTATAGATATTACAAAAGTAACATTAGTCGTTGATCAGTTTTCGTTCTGCTTTTGAATGCATTTAGGATCGAGGCTTGAATTGTATCAGTTAGGTTCTCATGATTTTGTTTATTAAATTGATGTCTGGTAACAAAGAAATATTCTTCATAACTCTGTTAAATAAAAATATAGAGATAACATCCTTGTTTTTATGTACTTATTATTCACATCGACAATTTCGTCTCCCAAAAAAAAAGAATTAGGGTACAAATAGTTTGATTAATAGTCAAATTTGAATTATTTATCGTTTGGAAACGAAAAATTTAAGTTGAATCTAGCATACAAATACCAACTGTAGACTTATTCAAGATATTTTTCAATTCTTTAATGAAACTAATGCAGTTGTAAATCAACAGCACGTCAAATAATGGCTGCATATCATCTGACTAATCCATGCAAGATATAATTTATTCATACAACTTCATGAAGAAGATTTTGAAAGACTGCATGAAGCTGTAGAACTTTGATACTAATGTTAGATAAAATTAACAATCAAGAAAAGTCATCTTTTTTATCGATAAAGATGCTTTTCTTTTCGATAGCTTATCAGTAAACAACAAATGAAAACGTTAAATACTTTGAATATTTTTTATATGACAAAAATTACATGAACTAAAACTCTAAAGAATGTACTCTAATAGTGTAAACAAAATATATAAATCATTTGAACGATTTAAGAGATATTCACTTTGTTTTTACGGCACAATTTTGGAACACCACTTTCTATAAACATGAAAGATTTTTGTACAGGCATGTCAAAACTATACCAAACATCATTTTAAAACATTAACATACTCTGCTAGGTCTTCAATTTTGAAAAAAAACATTGACGCATGAACTGAAATAACATGCATCCATTGAAGTTTTCGACAAACAATTATGTTAATGGTCAAACACAGATTAAAAACTAACTTCATCTGTAAATTTTCTTGATCGTATATTGTCCTTCTGAGCATTTCATCATCGCTTTCCATTTCTTACGATTGTTATTCATATAATGCATAACTGTTGCAAACTTCATATTTCGAAACACATGAGCATAGAAATCCAGATTTATTCTTATGATTATGTAAATCTCATTGATATCTACATACAATTAAAATACCACATGCACGAGACATTGTCTTGGTACTAGCCTGGAATCAAAATTCTTAGCTAGATTTTTCATTGCATTGTATAATGGATTTCATTCAAGATTCCCTAAAGAAATCTGTTTTCCTCATTTGCGCACTATTCTTGTTCTTCAAATGAAGTATCATTTATGGTTACATTAAGAATCAATTATGAATTTGTTTGAGAATTGACTTTTCATTGAGCGATTGAAATTATTGTGTTTGTCTTTCGGTATGAACAAGTATTGAAAGTTGTGAAGATTATGTAATTATTAAGACAGATAAAATCAATGCAAGATTGGATATATTAAAGTTCAACATAATTAGAAGAAAAAACAAGACTAAACGTGATACTACAGAAAACTAACTTGATTTTTAATCATCTGACAAATGACTAAACCGTGTTGATTGAATGAAATGAATTGAAATATAACCTTTTATTTGTCTTCTCTATTCATGTTAAGGTATCTTTATATTGATCGTGTTGACGCAGAAATCTTTGTGTTACAGTCTGTATCCACTGCTTTTGCTCAGAAATAAACGAATAAATAAGATATGTGTCAAAGGTGAGAACATTTTATTTTTTTTCTCCTTCAGTTGTACAGTTAATTGCGTACATTTTGCATTAGTCGATGGTTTCAATCAACCACGTGACTGGCTAATTTTTTTTCAAAATAAGAGTCGTAAGAGAGTTGTGCAACATATTCATGATAAAATTTCCTTATCAGAAAAATGAATGCAAACGTAAAGTCAATGATGGAGACACTTAGAAAAAGCACACGCTTTCATAAATTTTATTTATCCGGTCTCAGTTGACTGTGTGGGTGTGAAGGATGAGCATAGATATGGATGGGATGTTGGTTGCGTGTAGGTATACGGGTCGACGATATAAATATTGACACTCACGGTCATATCCACATCCACATCCACATCTACACCCCACTCTTGTGTAAAACAGCTTCAAGGTACGACTAATGTTGCTTTCGTGATATGAAGAGATAGCAAGCACCATGTATTTAGGACTGACTAAAATTTCTGATCTTGGCGTTTAAAATTTTATCAAATAGTTAATATCGAAAGTTTTATTTTATGAATATATATAGTGGAAAGCCTTGCCTATAATAATGTATATAAAAACTATATCTTCGATCTAATTCTGACATGCGTATGAAGGTGGATGTGTGGTGTGACGTATCAGGTCTGATTGTGGACTAGGAAAAGAGCCATGTCCCACATCATACATAAGAGCATAGTGTTGATGGTTCGTCATGCAAGAATAACAGTTATTGAGCTCAAATCATCTAGTTAAGTGGCTATTAAAAGCAAGAAGAATTCTAAGACAATGTTAGTAAGCCAGATAATGATAGCCTTTTTTCAAACAAAAAGTGCAGAAATTTGAACCTGTATTGTGAATATCATGAGTGAAGATA